TTGGGCTGATTAAATTTAAGAACACCCTGAAGAAGTACAAATATGAATAAGTAAAACTGGGTAATATCAAGATAATACTTGAAAAATTCAAATTACAAATATTTAATGGTTGAGTTTTTGTTTATTTCTAAATTTCCTAGCTCCTTTTAAATATTTCTTTTTACCGCATCCATCTTAGGTCATTCTACAGTTGGTTGCATTGAGTCATTTTTATCGTTTGGCTTTATCTGTAAGATTTCTAAGTGCATCTGATTTTTAAAATCATTAGAGTTCAAAGAGGGTGGAAGGAAGCAACAAACACGGAGAAGCATCCCTCCATTGACAGATGACATGACGTTGGTTCCATAAGGAGCATAAAGGCTGGACCGTATAGCCCGGGTGTGCAGTAGCCAGTACCCTCTCGGTTTGTGTAACTACACTCCGTGGTGTTCCCACAGTGACAGAATTGCCTAATGACGCATTTCTCAGAATGTGTTCCATTCGTTAAGTGATGCATCAGCGTATTGCCGTTAGACTAAATCAAATGGGTAATGGGTCATTTGAGGAATGATTACTAATGCGTTGTCTCAGATAATTCAAAATTTGGTGCTCATGTAACTATGTAGAATTATTGACTAGCTGAGCCTCTGCCTTTTTATATTCTTTGTCAGTCTAGCTCTGACTAATTCCACCTCCAAAATTGAAAACAAAAAATAATTCTCTTAGGAAAACAAGTGCTCAACTCCTCTTTAAAAGTCAGCCAGATTTTAAAAACTAGTGTTTACTTGGTTAAAATTCATGAACAATCTTCATTAGATTTACTGCTGAATAAGCAGGGTGCACCCTCTGATTTTGTTGTGCGTCTTTTGTTCTTGGGGAAGACTGTTCTGCTTACATACTTGTAGTCTTCCCTGGGATATTTTTATGATTTATAAGAAATCTTAAAATTAGGTTAATTTTTCTAATAAATCCACACTTGGTTCTGTGGGCTCTTTAGACTTGAGGTGGATGTGTTGGCACTGTTGACTCTTGGCTTCAGTAGATCCCAAACTGTGATCCTGGTTCGTCTGGGTTTTGTCCATCTTGTCTTGCTGAGATGTGAGCTCTGGGGAGGTTTCTTTACCTTCATTAAGTTGGTCTTTCTCTTTTAGGAAAATAAGGCAACTTCTCATCAGGGTGGGATATTCCCCCGTTCATGTTCTAGATTGCCTCTCAGATGAACAATTTGTTCATTTCCAAAGTTGCCCATAGTAGTCATTGTGAGTCTTAAGTTACCCTCCATGAAAAGATGCCATTTAGAAAGACAGGTACCTGAATCAGGAGTGTGTGTCATGCGTGGAGGAACTGTGGGATTAGACTGACGACTAAGATCAGTTTGGTGAAAGCGGTCCTTGTGCTCCCTGTGTCTCAGAGCCACAGTCGTGTGTTTGGCCATCTTCAGGTGAGAACCTCAATGCCTGCTGACTGGATTTTAGAAGAGAAGCTCTCTGCCTGGCCAGATTTGTACAGATAAAACAATCCAAGACTGAGGAAAATTCTTGTGAGATTTTCATGCATCATCCAAAGTAAAGTTTGTCCAAAGGATGCAGGCCGAGGAGAAGCTCGAGTTTGTCAGCCTCTGAAAATTGTTCAGGGAGCTGACCTGTTGGGGGCTGTGCCATCCTCTTTCCTCCAAACTTGTTAGAGACTCAAAACAACAACAGAGAATCCCACAACCCAAGACATGTAGGTAGTTGTGAGTAATTAGGCAGGTCTTCTCATTCAAATCCGATAAAAGGTTTTCAGATTAATCAAGTAATAATATTTACTTTAGAGAAGTAGAAGTTAGCTACATTTTAAAAATATAGTGATTAGGTAAAGACAGTAGAAAAGTAGATGAAAGGAAATATAGATAGGACTGTATTTGTATTTTGACTAAGAAAAGGTCGTGTCATAGGCTCAGCTGTGGTGAGTACGCACTGGTTGACACGGCTGTTAGGCAGGCGGAGGCCACATGGGATGCCTGCGTTTGATTCCTGGCCAGCCCTAAAATATGGGTGTAGTGGCTCACACTTGTAGTTACAGACACTTGAGAGGCTTGAGGCAGGAGGATTGAGACATGAAGACCCTTAAAAACAAAGAAAACAGGTAACTGTAAATATTAACACACAATTTTAGAAACAGCCAGCAGGTGGTATGGTGGTAAAGGCAACTGGATTCCACATGGGTAGTTTGTGTCCTGTACCCAGAGAGACAGAAAGCAAGAAATCACCCCCAAGGGGGTGGCCAGACCTCAATCCCCTCTCCATTCTGCTTTCGGGATCTTGGGCACGTATGCACAGGCGCCCGGCGTGAGTTTAAGCCACTGGGTCTGGGACTTGAACCGCGGTTGACTACATGGGAGTCCAGTGACATAGCCATTACGCCAACTGCTGGTCCCAAGAATACCTATTTTTTTTTTTTAATGAAATTTATAGTTTGTTTTGTTTTTCTGTATTCTGAGAAATCTTTGCCTCAGTTAAGATATATATATATATATAGTTTTTTTTTGGAGAGGTTTTCACTATAGGGCGCGTGCGCTCGCCAGACAGAGAGAGACATAGAGACAGAAAGCGAGAAATCACCCCCCAGGGGGGATGGTCATGCCGCAGTCCCTTCTCCATTCTCCTCTCGGGATCTTGGGCATGCATGAACATGCTCTGGATGTCATTTTCAAACCACTGGATCTGGGAATCAAACTACAAAGTGTAGGGCGTGTGCGCTCGCCAGACAGAGAGAGAGACATAGAGACAGAAAGCGAGAAATCACCCCCCAGGGGGGATGGTCACGCCGCAATCCCTTCTCCTCCATTCTCCTCTCGGGATCTTGGGCACGCACGCACACGCGCCCGGCGTGAGCCGGCGTGAGTTTTAAGCCACTGGGTCCGGGATGCGGACCGCGGTTGACTACGTGGGAGTCCAGCGACATAGCCATTACGCTAACTGCTGGTTCCCAGTTAATGATATTTTCTTGTCATCTTACAGAAGCATTATTGTTTTATATTTTATGTTAAGTCTCTACTATGCTTTTTTTTCTCCTTTTTTACATGGCCTGTGCATGGATATTATTCATTTGATTGATTTTGATTTTAATGGTAGTAGTTATAGAAACTCTATTGTATGCTTAGTCATGAGAAACTTTTTTATTGATAGGAAGA